GTGTTCTCTCTCATATTGATGCAATTCTATAGACTTGGGCCTTATCAAATTGATTGTTTTGTGTGTGACATTCCTATAAATGACTTCCTGATGAAATCCTTCATCCAAAGTTCCCCCTTTCCCCCAAATCTAAACAATCAGAGCTAGTCATTATTTTTATGTCAATTGAAATGGCCACGTGGAAATGTGCAAACAGTGTGCACGTGACTGAGGCAAGGCTGCCTCGGATTTTCCAGGAATCTCTTTAAGATAGAAGGTCAAAATGTTGACCAACCCTGGTCTTGGACATTTTCTTGAAAACCATCAACTGCAAAGAATACAACTTCTCACCTTAAGCATTGTGATTTTTCACACTTCTGGAGCCCCACCCACCCCTAGAACTTGAAGTGTGTGGGGGGATCATATAGCATTGGTGTTTTGTTTGTTTGAGTTTGGGGGATTCATTACCATGTAGGAGATGAACCAAGAGTGGCTGGGGGTGAAATGGGACTAGTAGCCCACACTTTGAAAAGCAGTGGTAAATAAATTCACTCTAGGAAGGTTTGGCCAACCATTCGTTTCAGAAATGTGGGCATCTCTGCAAAATGCCTGCTGGCTGGGGCAAGGCCAGGGCAAACTCACTCTGTTTAGACTTCGACCCTCAAAGAGACTTTCTAGCCAAAACTTTCACTAGCACTCGGTCCTCTTTAGCCACAGCCATTTCTAACATCTGCACGTTGAGTCCCCAGAGTTCAGGTGAAAATCCAAGAGCAACTCTAGCGGACCGGACGTAGCAGGGAAGGAGCCACAGACTCCCGCCTTCCTGCTGAGGAAGTTAACTGGTCCCTGCTTTTGTCATGGGGCTGGGAGCTTCAATCTGCCAAGTAGACCAAGCTGCTCTTCCTGTTCACCCCTGCAGGCCCAGTACTTCATGCGGATGTCAAAGACAGAGTGACAATCATCTTTAAAAACATGGCCACGAGATCCTACTCAATCCACGCGCACGGGGTGAAGACGGACAGTTCTACAGTGACTCCCACCTTACCAGGTACTGAGGGGGAGGAGGGGGCAGGGGAGGACTCTACAGCCTTGCCAGAGAGGAGGGCTAGCACGGAGGAGGCATTCTCTCCAAAGGAGTCTGTCTACAAGAAGTGAGGAGGAGGTGGTTCTCAAGAAGAGATGCAGGGAGGTGTGGCTGTGAGCATCATGCACACCTGCACATGCATGTACCACGAAACCCACAGAGGAGCGCTACAGGGAAAGCGTGAAGGCGGTAGGCATCTGCGAAAACTCAACCAGGAGTCAACTGGGCCACGATCTCTCAGCCTACAGCTGGAAGACACCCCTCATTTGCCATACAGCCTGTGGCTGAGTATTTCCATGCTTGTCTCCCCCAGATGCTAAGGGCTACTTAGAGGCCACCCCTTACATTTAAGTCCCCAGAAGCTAGTATCTGACATGGACTAGGAGCATTTCATTAATGAACAGGCTAAAAGATGTCATAGATTATATTCAAAAGCTGTGTGTTCTCTTTCATGGAAAACATTTTTCGTTTATTGTCAGCCAGGCTTCTAGAAGACCATTTATCCACAGGTAGTTAGAAATGACCGATTATATCAGACGAGGGGGGGGGAAATCTGTCTAGACTTGCTCCATTCAATTAGGAGACTGAGATAGAAACAAACAATTACAACAAAAAACAATCCCTTTAGCCCCCCCCCACACACACACACATTTGTAAGATAAACAATAAATAGATGCATTATGTAGAGTTAAATGTCAGTGTGAAAAATGCTATGAAAAATATAATAATGAGGGGAGAGCTAGCTCAGACTGGGGATGAGAATGTGCTCGTGTCTGACGCAGGGAAAAGAGCCCAAAGCTAGATTCAAGTTCACAAGGATTTGCGTGTGGGGAGACAAGATCTGAGGGAGGGCAGGGCTGGCAGGAGAGGACTTCACAGGTCATCTTTAGGATGCTAGACTTTATTATGTTTTGTTATGGGCTTTTTTGTTATATTTATGTTACGTTACATTACATTACACAACATTACATTACACTACACTATACTACACTACACAACACTACATTACACTACACTACACAACATTACATTACATTACACTACACTACACTACACTACACTACACAACACTACACTACACTACACTACACTACACTACACTACATTACAACAAAAGCCCATGTCAGGGCTTTAGGCGATAGAGTGGTGATCTTACAAACACTTTTTAAAGGACTGTTTTGCTTGGTGTCTCAGTCAGAAGTGGCAGTCGAGAGAAAGTCAGTGTGCTGGTTAACGTTGTGTTCATTTTAGTTTACTGTGATACTTAGTGGGGCAAATCTTATGCCATCATTCTCCACTTTGTGATTTGATATGAGCAGCCAGTCTGTTGAAAGGGATGAGTCCTGGGAGGTGTGGCTTGCATCCGATAGATGTGGATGTTCTGACCAAGCTTGTGATCTCTTGATCCTGCATCCAACTCCTTATCCTACTGATGTGAGCCAGCAGCCTGCCATCTGGCCTTCACAGTGGGTATTGTCCAGCTCCCAAAGGCCCATAACCTATCAAGCTGCCATCTGACTTGTAGACTTTGGTTTGTCAGATGCTGCAACCACATGAATCGCAGAAAGCCTCTGCCCTGAATCCTGACCCACAGATTTGGAACTTGCAGCCCCATGATTCCATGTGATAGTTCCTTGAAATATATATATTTATACATAATCATATCAGTATATAAGATATATTTGATATACATTAATTCTATTTCTATATTAATTGAAAATATATAAACATATTTAACAACATAAATATATTTATAAATATAAAATATATATTTCAAGGAATTATCTCATGGATATATATATCACTCTATTATATGACACTATTAACAATATTATATATTATATCATATTAGATTTTATTCATTTGATTATTATAGAGTATATTGATTTTGCCCTTGAGAGGGTACAGTAGAGTTCTAGAGGAACAAAATCATTAGGATGAGTTTTCTGACTTGGTTCTCAAATTGGCCTAGTTTTAATGGTGCTAATAGTTCTGCCTCCAGTAGTAAAGAGGGCGCTACTCATCCATAGCACCAGGTGGAAATATAGATATGCAAAAGATCGACTATTTGTGAGAGAAGGCTCTGTGTGATCGATATTCCTACAGTGTTGGCAGAATGCGGAGCTTAAGGAAGCTGGTGTGTTCGTCTTGCATCATTTGACATGAAAGTTGTCACCTGCAGGTGTCACCTGCACCTGTGGTAGCAAAGCTGACATTAAAAGCAAATCCTAGAGTCAAATATCATAAGAGTGGCTGAATTAAAACACAACTGGATTTAAGAACTCAAATGGTATCTGAAATTAAAGTGAGGGCTTCGGTTGTGTAGAAATGGGATCCTGCAGTTGGGAGGGAGACATATGGACAGATAATCAGGAAGCTGGGGGCACTGGGCCCCTCCCTGGATCCACTCCTGGCAACACAAAGAAGCCTTGTGCCACAGATTAGCTAGTGCGGTGCCATTTGAAGATACTGCTGTGCCCACGATCTTTGATTGTGGATACGAGTCAAATGAAGCCCTTACACCTTCAGTCTTTCCTTTTTATCATGATGTTGCTCTTCCCACAGGTGTAGTGCATTGGATTCTTGTGTGTTCCACCTGGTGAGGTGCACAGATCCGGTCAGCATTGATGTTGATTTTCCCCCAAATAAGTCGTTCGTCTTGCGACATTCCTTCCTCTGCCGTCCAGCTTCATTTCTATCTCCAAGGCCGTATTTCCCAACTGCGAACTATTCTTCTATGTTTTCAACTTTTTTCTAATAGCCAGCAATATCAATACATTTGACTGCATGTTTAATTGATAAACTGAAGTTGGTACAATTCCTTAATTTCTTCATTACTGGCTTCAGTGATTTGTTTAACAGTTGTATAACTGGTCTTTCTTATGGGCATGTAGATATTATCCTATTCAAACAGTATTGTATTTCAAAGTACGTCTTGAAACATTCTTTTTAATGATAAATGTGATGTCATTCTTCTTGAATTTGTCATTCGTTCCTGGCATAGTAAATCATGATTGTCCAATTCAAAATAGCCAATACTAGTCCATTTCAGATCGCTAATGCCTAGCATATAGATCTTTATGCATTCCATTTCTGGTGACTTGAAATTTCCTAGATTCATACTATGTACATTCCTTATTCCAATGATGGTGGTATAGTGATTTTCTTGGTATGACTATTGTTTTTTTTAAATCATTTTGTTGGGGGCTCTTACAGCTCTTATCACAATCCACCCATCCATTGTGTCAAGCACATTGTACACTTGTTGCCACCATCCTTCTCAAAACATTTGCTTTCTACTTGAGCCCTTGGTGTCAGTTCCACTTTCCCCCTCCCTGCCCCACCCTCCCTCCTTCATGAACTCTTGATAATTTATAAATTATTATTTTTTCATGTCTTACACTGACACCAATGTCTCCCTTCACCCACTTTTCTGTTGTCTGTCCCCCTGAGAGGAGATTATATGTAGATCATTGTGATTGGTTTCCCATTTCTCCCCCCACCTTCACCTTACCTTCCTGGTATGGCTACTCACAATAATAGTCCTGAGGGGTTTATCTGTCCTGGATTCCCTGTATTTCCATCTCTTACCTGTACTTGTGTACGTGCTCTGGTCTAGCTGGATTTGTAAGGTAGAATTGGGAATCATGATAGTGGGGGGAAGAATCATGAAAGCACTAGAGGAAAGTTGTATGTTTCATTGGTGCTATACTGCACCCTGACTGGTTCATCTCTTCCCCGTGACCCTTCTGTAAGGGGATAGTTGCCAACAGATGGGATTTGGGTCTCCACTCCACACTCTCCCTCATTCACAAAATCCTCAATATGATTTTTCTTTCTGGGTCTTTGACAGCGGATACCTGATCCTATTGATACCTCATGATCACACAGGCTGGTGTGCTTCTTCGTGTGGGCTTTGTTGCTTCTCAGCTAGATGGCCGCTTATTTAACTTCAAGCCTTTAAGACCCCAGATACTATATCTTTTGATAGTCAGACACCATCAACTATCTTCACCACATTTGCTTATGCACCCATTTTGCCTTCAGCAATCATGTGGGGAAGGTGAGCATCATGGAATGTCAGGTTAATAGAGCAAAGTGTTCTTGTAGTGAGGGAGTACTTAAGTAGAGGCCCAATGGATATGACTCTTCTATCCATAGTAATTCCCACCAAACCATTGGATGTGTTTCCTCTTTTCTTAATGAATCTGGCTAAGAGAAAATGTGGGGAGATGCTGATAGAAGTATATTCTGATGTGAGTGATTGTTAGCATGGTTGTGAACTTGGAAATCTAAGGAGGGGATTGGTAAATCTTGCCATCCTGCTGGGTGTGAAATGAGCCATTTCAGAAGCAGGAGGTGAGGCTCTCACTACCATCAAGAAAAAGAAGCCAAGAGTGGTTTACCCTTTGGACCCAGAAATTCCTGCACGTTGAACTTTCCTGATCCAAGGATAGAAAGTTATGGCACCAGAAGGGTGGCAGAATGAAGAGCCAGAGCATTAGGCCAAGCTTCCAGTAAACAAAATGGGTTTGGGGCACAAATTTTGCTTGCAATGTGGGATACCTCCAGGCACTTAATTGGGGAGCTTGGCTTTTAAGGGCCCATGGAGTCAGCTAGAGCTGAGAGTCTTGGAGCTGAGGTTTATAAGGAAGTGATGCACCGTTAGGCGTTTATCAGCAGAACTTAAAGGAAACCTGTAACACTTCCTGAGCAGGGCAGGGGCCAAGGCCCACAGATTGGCCTACCTTTGGACATGGCTGAGAAGAGGCTGTCCTGAGCAAAGAACTCTATCCTGAGCATTTCTGATCCTAAATTGTAGCTTGTTCACTTTCCTAATAAAGCTCATAATTTTAAGTATGGGTTGTGAGTTCTGTCAGGCCCTTGCAGGGATTCATTTAATTCACCAACGAAGGAAAGAGTGTTCCGGGGAGAACTTTCAAGTGTCAGAATTGGTAAAGAACCTTGGGAGATGGAGACACGTATGATATAGGACTCTTTACAGGACTCTCCTGGGGCTGATGTGGTTGATTCTCCCTGGGATGTCAGAAGCTGGCCCCTTGTCATTCTTACCTCATGAATGCTTGCAGCAGTTTCTCCTCCTTCTGAGTCATGGCCCATCAGCAAATGAAGATTCTGAAACCTTCCCTCTACCAGCCTTGTTCAGAGCGAATCTGCTGCAAACGGCCTCTTTCAAGTGCAGAAGAGGCAGGATATCATGCTGAGGACTAAGACGCGCCTGGCCCGAGCCAGGGTGTTTTCAACGGCCTCGTGTGCATGTGCAAGTTGGATGATGGATCCAGGAGACTGCAGGCAGATGGATGCATTTAAATGTTGGTGTTGGCAAAGAATATTGAAAGTGCCATCGACTGCCAGGACAACCCGAACTCTTGTTCTTGAAGAACGGCCAGGATGCTCCTCAAGAGCCATGATGGTGAGGTGTCTCACGTCCATGTTGTCAGGAGTTCTAGTCTCTGCAGAAGGGCATGGTGCTTGGTAAATGGAGGATCAGCTAAACAGAGGAAGACTCTCCACGAGATGGGTCCACACTGTAGCTGCACCGCTGGGCTCAAACAGAACAGTTGTGAGGACAGTGCAGAGCTGGACCGTGGGCCTGGGCCTGCTGTCCATAGGGTCGCTGTTGAGTCCACACAAACCTGATGGCACCTGATACCCACCACGTGCCCCAGCATCCTGGAGCAGCTGGCTGGACAGACAGATGGAATAGCTTTCCAGAGATAGGGTTTTTGTGCCAGCTAGGTGACACTACTTTGCATAGTTGGGGCAATGTTCTCGGGGATAGGGCGGGGGGCTGTATATGCTATGAGCCATCATCCGATTTGTGTTGCTGTTTCTCCCAAAGCCAGAATTCATGAGTGCAGAAAGCAAGCAGTGGAAATGAGAGTGGCACCCCTACTAGCCCTAGTGACCCACTTGCAAAACGTTTGCTTCCTCTCTCCACAGTCCTGTGCTCTATGGGTGTAGATGTCCTAGTTCCGAAGGGCGAATGCTTCCAGTGAGAGGCACGACACTGCTACCACTGAACTGAGCACCTCATCGCCTTGGGCTCCTCCTGCCTCTCACTTAATAGGCAAAGAAAGCAGTTGCCCTATTGGTTGGGGTGATTGATCCTAGTCATCAAAGGAAATCAAACTGATATGGCCTCCTGGAGGCAGAGAAGAGTAGGCCTGGAACACAGGAGAGAACGTAGATGTTGCTTTGTACAACCATGCCCTAAGGTTTCTGCCAATGTAGAGCTACAGCAACTACAGGAAGGAAGGTTTGAGTCCCCCTACCAGGTAAGGTCGTGATCAGCTGAGGTGACTGCTGAGGGCAAAGAGAGTATCTAGAGTGGTGGAATAAGTGCTTTTAAATACATTACAACTGCATGGCCATTAGTAGAAATGAGGACTGTAATTTGTAATTGTTATAAATATCTCCTTCTTGCTTTGTTATAAGTGTGCAATACACACATAGATGCATTTATATATGTACGTTTGTATGTGTGTGAGTGATCTTTAAAAGTTTGAGGAAGAATGGAATTAATCCACAAATATTTGAAATTCCCCCCTTGTAGATATCAAATGTCTTTATTTTCTTCCATCCTTTATTGCAGTACTGAGTATAAAATGGAAGATGAAATGGGCTAATGTTTTTATTTATTTATTTAATGAAAAGATCATTTTATTGGGGGCTCTTACAGCTCTTATAACAATTCATACATCAATTGTATCAGGCACAGTTGTACATATGTTGCCATCATTGTTTTCTGAACATTTACTTTCTATTGAGCCCTTGGTATGAGCTCCTTTTTTCCCCTCCCTCCCCTGGGCTAGCATGTTTTTGGTTGTCTACTTTTTAGTCCTCTTATGATAGGCTTAAGTTTAATATGACACACCTGTTCCTCACTTGTTGACTATAGTGTTATCTAACATTTCACATTTTAAATAACTTTTCAAAACTTCCTCAAGGCCTCTGACAGTCCAGGCTCCATACAGGTCATGTTTGGGCCTCAGGTACCCTTCACAGGTCACCTCAAATGATATTCCCAAAAGACCTGGTTACAGTAGGCCCACTACCCCACTAGCTGTTGGACAATTCTCCATCATCCATGAGGCCTTGGTGTGGGACAGACAATGCACGGTTGCAGCGGTCAAGGGGAAGCTGGACAGAGGAGCAGTGGCTATAAGGATGCCCGATCTTTGAAGCAGCAGCAGAGAAAGCCCAGGGCCATGGGAAGAGTGGACACGTGTCTGAGAGGCTGAGGACAGGAGAGAGCGGCTTGACTGCTGGCTGAGGAGAGGCGGGGCTGTGGGCCAATGGTTGTATGCTTCAAAGGGACTGATCCTGGCTTGGGATAACCTATTACCTTCTCTAATAAACCCCCATAATTGTGAGTCTTGTCCGTGAGTTCTATGTGGCCACTGCAAGAAGTTACTAACCTTAGTATAGAAGTAGAGGCAAGTGGGAGGAACGGCCGGTGTGAGTAGGCAAGGAACGGTGGGACGCAGAGGAGTGTTCTGACCGCTGCCTCTTTGCAGCAGGGAAGCCAGAGGTCAGAAATGGCCCCCAAACCATTGACTGTGCCTCGTTTGATTCCCTAGTACAGGCTTGTTGGACTCTAGCAAGGGCTCCGTGAAAACCTGGTGGCATGAATATGAAATGATGCATATAAAATACATGAACAGCATGGATGGATGGGGAGAGGGATGGACCAATTCTCACCATCAGAATTGGTGAGTAGGCATAGCCAAAAGTCAAGGTCATGAGTAGCTTGTACAGGAAGCCCTAAGGTCACAAGCAAGAGAGAGCTGGCTAGAGAAGAGCCCAGAGCACCCAGACAGAGGGTGGGACACTGGCAAGGTGAGAGGGCGGGATGAATGGCCGTCTTCACGATGAAACGTCCCGTGTCCAGGTCAACATCCAGGTGTGGTCATGTCTTACAGGTGCAGAGTTGAGGCAGAGTGAATTGCAGCAGAGAGGAGGTAATTGTACTAGGTCACGGACCAATGACATCAAGAGCTCTAAGGGGTCCTTGGCAGGGAAGAACCATCCTTCAGGAAATTGCTAGAGATGATAGAAACTATGGAGAGATGGGAGGCACAGTGAAGCCAAGGGCACTGCACAGAACAGGCCAGATCCCTGACCACAGGGAAGACTGAGGAACCGTAACAGCCACTGCAGGGCGGGGCAGATGGAAAGCACTTGGCGTTTGAAGAGAACAAAGTATTAAGGAAATACACTTCAAGCTAAGAAAAGATCAGTTACAACCTTAGAGTTGTTCCTTCCTGGCTTTTGTGATACAAACTATCACAATCAATTCATAATTGACAGAAAAAGACATAAAAGTATGTCTTACAGATTTTCTTAATACTGAATTTAATGGAAGTTATTGTATTGGCAGATATTTTTGTATGTACATTTTCCCCATAATTAAAAACACAAAGAAAAACCAAACACAGCAAATTGAATTCCTGAAAACAATCTTAAGCATACTTTTTTTTTAGTTCTTAAATACTTACTCTGATTTTTCTCATTCCTGGGTCAGTGGTTATATATAAATATACCCAAATGTATTAATATTTCATTAATTTAGGTGAAACTCGGACCTACATATGGAAAATTCCAGAGAGATCTGGCGCTGGGAGAGAGGATATGGCCTGTATTCCATGGGCGTACTATTCAACTGTGGATCAAGTGAAGGTAAACTTCAAACCATTTGTGTTTTGGCACTTCCCAAATTAGACGTACAATTAAAAGAAGATGGGGTTAGTTTGCCTGTGTTAAAATTCCTGTATTAAGCTCTATAATCCACTTTTTCTTTTTGGGGGGCTTGTTTAAGGATACAGTTGTAACTATCTGTGACTGCTAACCACAAGGTGTGCAGTTTGAATCCACTACTAGCCACTTCGAAGGGTTGTTGAAGGCGACTCTTCCCCTAAAGATTTATGGCCCTAAAGCCTACGAAGACAATTCTGCTCAGTTCTACAGGGTCCCGCTGGGCTGGAATCAAGCTGATGTTCTATTTGGTTCTACCCTATGACTGCTGATAGTGGCTAACACAGATATATCAATCAATATAATATTTTCTTCCCCTGTTGATATGAAAACATATTAAAGAATTGACATGCAGGGATCCAAGCCCTGCTATGTGATCATAAAAATGCTGAGCTCGGCTACCACATAGCAAAAGGTGCACCATGATTGCTTTGTAGAATTAAATTTAGAGTCCGCCGCTCTGTCCAGAATTCTAGACCTGTCCACTCGACATCCCGCCAGCATATGCCGCAAGCATTGGGAACTCACCGAGCATCGCAGCAAACAATTTGTTCAAGCCAGAACCCCGACATCCAGCACCTACTTCCCCCTGCTCACCAAGACAATTCACCTACCTACCTCAATCCAGTCCTTCTTTCCATCCTTCTAATTTGCCTCAACTACTGCAATGGGCAGCCTCTCAGTCTCCAGGCTCTTCCCCAACCAACCTGCTTCCTTCACTCCCCTGCCCAGACAATTGGTCTCAAATGCAAATATGCTGTCATTCCTCATCCTATTTCTCAATGGCTGCCGATTGCCTAGAAGACACAATCTAGAATTCCTTAACACTGTGCTCAAAAGTCTGTCAAGATTTAATCTGCCACTGCTGGTGCCCAGACCAAGCTTCTCAAGTTAAGAGGCTTCCTCCTTCCATCTACTGGTTAGTTAGTGCTTTTTTTGCCTCCCCTGGAGGTGGCAATCGTTCCCTTCTCCTATTTCTCTATTTTCTCTATGGGGCAAGTTCCTGGGTGTGTTAGTCCAGGTAGACTAGAGAAACAAATCCAGGGAGACTCATATGTGTATAAGAGCAAACTTTATATACAAGAGCAATTGAATATTGAGAAAGCATTCCACCCCAGTCCAGATCAAGTCCATAAGTCAGATATTAGCCCATATATCCAATACCAATCTATAAATTCCTCTTCAGACTTACACAACACATGCAATGACACCAAATGCAGGAAGATTACAGGTCAGCAGGTGGGAAGTATTGTGGGTCCAGTGGCAGTGGAAGCATCTCAGTGCTGGCGTGGGTCTCCATGTGGTTTCTTCAGCTCCGGGCCCTTGGTTGGTTCCATGTGTCATGTCAGCTGCAATGTCTCCCAGGGAGTGAGCCAAGAGAGAGTGTCCCACCTCCAAAGTTCCCAGAATCCTCAGGAGAAGGCCATGCCCACACAGAGGTCTCATTGGCTATGACCTGATTGACAGGCTAGACTCCACCCCTTCACTCTTAATCCCCTCCAATTGACAAATGATTATATAACTACTAGACTGGGTGACAGGAGCACTGTTTCATTTCTCTCTGGGTTCTTAGTGAATGGCACAGGGCTTGGCACCTAGGTACACTCATTCATTTTTGGATACATTGGACCAACATGGTTCATTTAGGGTCCCAATGCTGCTCAGGAAATGAGTTATTTTCTAAGACGCCACATCACATCAGCAAGGCCCACTGTTACAGTCTGTCAAGAGAAACATCTACTGAGTTTGTTACTAGCACCTTGTTGGGCAAAGTTCTACTTAAATCCATCCCTCAACGGTCCCTGAGGTCACAGCGATCGGGTCCCCACTGTCTGCCGTCCTGACCAGCATCACAAGGATGACTGATGCTTTCGCTTGTTCCCAGGATCTCTACAGTGGATTAATTGGACCGCTGATTGTTTGCCGGAGATCGTACTTAAAAACATTTAATCCCAAAAAGATACTGGAATTTTCCCTCCTGTTTCTGGTTTTCGATGAGAATGAATCTTGGTATTTAGAGGACAATATCAAAACGTACTCTGATCACCCCGAGAGAGTGAACAAAGATGATGAGGAGTTCATAGAGAGCAATAAAATGCACGGTAGGACACACCGTCCCAAAGCCTTGTGGTCCCTCTTTTAATCCCACTCTTCTTTCAGGTAAAACTAGACCACAAGCTTCATTGAAAAATAAACCACTCTGCCTCACTTTGTCTGCGGGGCAGAGTTCACTTTGATGGAAACTCCATCCAAAATCGTTGATGAATTTCCCCCTTGAATCCCCAAATCTCATTCCCTTTAAATAAATCTACCATGAGCATGATGCCTTTTGGTACCAGTTGGCTAGAACAGCACTGTGAGACTTCGCTGGCCTGAAGGTTTCCATGTCTGCCTTTGCAATGAAGCCCAAGTCCCGTTACCTTAATAAGATCCCCTCTCTTAACCCAATGTACGTATTTTCTGTAAGACAGCTGTTGGTTGAAGTATCCTGAAAGGTAATATGAAAATCCGATGCTCTCCCCAGCGATCAACGGAAGAATGTTTGGGAACCTTCATGGTCTGCAGATGCGCGTGGGAGATGAAGTGACCTGGTATCTGATGGGGATGGGCAATGAAGTAGATTTGCACAGCGTGCATTTCCACGGCCACAGCTTCCGGTACAAGGTAAGAGCCCCCAGCAGGGTTCTGCTCTCCTGCACAGAAAAGATGTTCTCAGTAACTTGTGAAAAGCTGGAAGTATCAAGTGTTAAGTAAACTCCTTCCCAGGAGGACTAGCAGGTGGGTGGTGGTGATGGTTTCCATTGGCATTCCTTGCCCGTGACCCCCTGATGACCCTGGCATTTCCTGGTTGTTTCCTAGTCTTTCATGGAGTTCAGCTATTCCCTTGTAAGGCATTTGAATGGAAGGGCAGCAGAGGGTACAGGCTGCCAACCTAATGATGGACCAGGGTACCGGTGAGCAGGCAGCACTTCAGTGCAGCCTTTGCT